GTATTATGTTGAGGATTTCTGCATCTGCACTCATCAAGGATATTGACCTGTAGTTTTCCTTTCTTGTGGTGTCTTTGTTTGTGCTGGCCTCATAAAACAAATGGGGAATATTTCCTCCTAATTGATTTTTTGGGAAAGTTTGAGACAGACTGGCTTTAATTCTTTAAATGTTTAAGATGGCAAATCCTTAGCTAGACAAGGAAAAAAAAGAGAAAACTCAAATAAAATAAAATCAAAAATTAAAGAAGAGATTACAAATGATGCTGCAGAAATGTAAAAAGATTGTAAGAGCTGCTATGAACAATTATACACCAAGAAACTAGACCTGGAAGAAGGGAATAAATTCCAAGAAACCTATGACCTAGGTTTCTAAATCATGAAAAAATACAAAGTCTTGCAAAGACTTGTAACTAGTGTGGAGATTGGATTAGTAATAAAATCCTCCCAACAAAGAAAAGCTCAGGATCATATATATATGTCTTTGGGGGAATTCCACCAAATATTTAAAGAAGAACTAATGCCAGTCCTCCTCAATGTTTTCCAAAAAATTAGACAAAGCATAACTTAGGCTTTTAAAAAAGGCTTCATGTTTGTAATGCTAAGTTGTATAAAAGCTCAAGTCACAGTTCAAGTAGAAAAACCGTGTCATTTCAAAACTTTGAAGTAAGCACAGTACCAGATTTATTATATTGATAAAGTGAACACTTGTTTGTAAGTTAGTTAATCTTAAATATTTTTCGATATGGCATAAACTGTAGAGAAGTTTCTTGAAAGTGTCTATCCTTAATCCTGTCATTATATGTAGCTTGATTTGACTAAACACAGACTCAGAAAATATTCCAAATAATTAGCTTACCTTCTGTTGTCCATAAATTATTCCACGATATAAAACTCATATTTTATTTTGTAGTTCAAAATCCTCCTTCAAATCCCTTCAAGTAATATAATAGGGATCTAGTAGTCCCAATAGACCTGTTCCTACTTGTAATAAATTTACTATCATAAACAAACTCTATCAAATTAATTGAATACAGACATTTCAATATTCTTTGGGTTTTTTTTGCAAAAAATATTTAGTTTCCAGTAACTTTAGTTATTCTTTAATTTTTTTTCTGTCTGTAATCACTATATTTTCTTAATTTGTTTATGTAACTTTCTTAAATTTTATTCAAGAAGTTTCAAATAGTGTCATCAAATTGTGCAACTAAACTTATGACAGTTTATTTTTAATATATCAAACAGACAATGGTATATTCATACACGATTATAATTTTACTTTGAAAATGACTTTGGTCTCTGGGGTCCCAATTTTGAATGTTACAACATGAGGGACAGTTGTAACAAAAATTCATTATGTGTTCATGTGATTATAACCTACTTAAGCAGAACACATGGAAGAATCTTTTGGAAGTAGTCTGAAAACCAAAAATAGTCCAGACTCAGCAGTGAGCCATTCATTTCAGCCTCTGTTAAGTTTTTAAAAGTCATGACATAAATTTTATGGATAGCCTATGCCATAAAACTTCCACAGGAAATTTATGCATCCTTTGTTTATCTTCCATGGATTCAAAGATTTAAATATTACCTTTAAATTCATAGGCTTCCTTACTTAACAATCTCTTGAATGATACTTTTCATGCTTGATGAAAATAAAGCAAACTCTTTTTTTAAGTACCCTTCAAAACATCATGTCTATGCTGATCATCTAGCCAGAGTGGAGTTTCTCCTTTAATTATTGTGTCAGTATTATTTTCTAACCTTTTCTCTTCCAAAATTTCCCCAGCGGCGACTGACAACTGCTTCTGCAGATATTTTATTTGGTTCTAATTCTTGATCTCTTTTCAGTGAGGTACCTGTATGTCACAAGCTGTTTTGTTTTTCAGGCCTCACCTTGTCATAGGAATTATCTTGATTTAGCCTATTTTATTAATTTTTAAAACGATAGTTGTGTTTTATGAGTTACAACTTTTGAACAACATTAAATGGTACTGAACTTTTATTTTTTAAAAGTAAATGCATGTAACTTATTTTATAGTTTTATAGAACTACAAGAAGGAATAAGTGTTGCTTTTCTCAAAACCAAAGCTAATGAAAGTGTAAATATTTAAAATCTCCTATAAAAAAAAAAGCAGAAGTAATAAGATCATGCAGATGGAATGCATGATTGCTTCTTATTTGTTTGGCAAGCTTGTCTTTTAAGGCTCTACTCTGATGTCATTTCATCTCCGACACCATCTGCATCCTCCTGAGATTTAAACTTCTACAGGCTCACATCACATGGCTTTGTAAATGTTTGATTTTAAGTCTGTCTTTTAAGTAAAACTATGACTACCTGCAAAATTGGAGTCTTCTGTTAATTATCTTTGCATCCTATCAACCCAGTTCAGTGCCTGATACATAAGAGTTAATAGATAAGTGTTTCTTGATTGCACTGCTTTGTTTTTTTCCAAAGCCACGGGAATAGTCAAATCTCTCTTCTATTTTTTTCTTAACTTAACACACATTGTAAACGTGTTTTTATTTTACTATGTTACTTCTGATATAAGTTACTGTTTAAACAAGGTATGAGCTAACAGATCCCTTGACTCATTTCCAACTAAGTATCTTATCTTCCGAAGTGGAAACCGAGAACCTGAACATTTGCAAGCAGGTGATATAGATAAAAGGGAATCATATGTAGAAAGAATGAATCTAAAAGGAAGCAGATGCTTTCAATTATGGCCAGTTGTTGACATGACCTATGATATCAGATTTTCCAAATTTAAAAGGAATCAGAAACTTAGACTCTTAGGTTAAATGTTGGAACTTATTAAGCCTTAGTAAATTCATGCAGGCCAAATGACACTCCCTGTAGTTCCAACTTGGACTGTGCACTGCCAGTGTATAACTGCTAGTTTATGTGTTGTTTTTGAGATACAGAAAGGTAGATAAATGATGTTGTCACAAGAATCACACCGGAATGGATGGTAAGACTAAGTATTAGTATGTATAATTCTTTCTTTACCCATATATGAAAATGACGTTTATAAAGGGAGGTTTAAGAAATTATTCCAACTTGTTTATTGTCTAGAGGAAAGAAATTGTGGAATGTATTCTCATCAAGATGAAATGAGTTACTTGAGCTCTTACAACGTTAAAATTGGTAGACCTCAAAAATTGCATTATAGGATCTTTGGTGTTTTTTCTCTGCTGTAAGGAAAGTTAATACTAAAAAAGACAGTAAATCACAAATGCAGAATTATTCACACACAGAGAAGGGCAGCATCCCTGGGTGTGAAAGTTTTTTTCTGAGGGTGTAAAGCATAATAACCATTTAGAGAATGAGGAGGATTTGCAGAGCTGACATTAAGAACAGTGAATGCTCTAAGATGAAGGTATTATCTACTGTGAGGTGGAATCTGAATCTGGGGAAGGAAGTTTTGTATTTCACCAGACAGCCAATCTGACTCATCAATATCCATGCTGGGAAGAAGTGAGAAGTCATCTCCAAACCACCTACACGTACCATTCAAACTAAGCATTCTTGACATCCAGGCTCCTAAATTAGAGAATATACTATGATGTAATGAACACAGACAAAAATTGGGGCACCACTTGCTTACTTTTCCTTTTGCCCTCTCCCTACAATATCAAGTGAGGATATTCTTGTAGTCTGGACAGTCTTCTCAACCAGATGGATGGGATAGATGTGGTGTACTATCTTTTGTCGCTACTTGGAAGGGCCTCGAATGTCCAAGAGGAAGGGCTCTTGGACAGACCTCATCTGTTTGTCCAGGGGAAGCCCAGGGGTCAATTCACCCTCATGGCTTCACAATAAGCAACAGTGGTAGTCCCCTTTATTCCTTGAACAGTGCTCTTTTGCACACAGTTTTAAAATCCGGGTATGGGAGGCTTCCCTTCCTTTGAGGAGCCTCCAAATTTGCTGCTTTAGAAATGGGAGCTTACTTCCTTTGCCTTACAGAGCAAGGCTGATTTTTTTATTTGCTTAGCTGTATCTATCTTTTCCAAGGAAAGCTGGTAACAAATGAAACCAGCATTTTTGAGATTACTGTTTACTAAGTAAAAGATTAATTTATGAAACTCCTTACAATCTCACACAAGTATGTGCTCTCATGTCTTCATTTATTAAGGGAGGTTAATAGCAACAGAATTTTTCAAAAGAAACTCCCATACACTGTAATACACACACACACACACACACACACACACACACACACAGTTTCTTTCTTTCTTTCTTTCTTTCTTTGGCACTTAAAGAGCTTAGCTGCAGTTTGGTGTGGCTGGCATGACTTAAAAGGTATTTAGAGAAATGAAAACTCAGATGACAGAAAGTTGGAAACCACTGGATGTGGTGGTTCCTACCTGCCTATTTTTGTGTTCTCACATAGGAGAATATCCAAATGCAAAATTTCCAGGTGTTATGATACTTTATGTGGTTTTAGATTTTTTTTTACATTTTATTAAAATCTTTATCATGTTTGTTCTTTTTATCACATTACGTCAAGTCTTTTGTAGATATATTTATGAAGAGTCAATATTTTAACGACAGAGAACAAACTGATGGTTACCAGAAGGGAGGTGGGTGGGGGGTGGGTGAAATAGGTGATGGGGACTAAGGAGGGCACTTGTGATGAGCACCCAGTGTCTAAGTAAGTGTTGAATCACTAAATTCTAAACCTGAAACCAATATTACATTGTATGTTAACTAACTGGAATTTAAATAAAAACTTAAAAGAAAGAGTAAATACATGTTTACATATGAGAGGATGAACCTTAATTATTGGGTACTTTAATTGGCGAAGAAAACTTGGTTATGAAAATTAAAGGGACATATTAAAAATGCAGTTATATACACCCAACACAGTGTGTGAAGTAATGTACATTTGTAGCTACCAACTCTTTAATGAAAATATCTTCTTCACATTTATCAGGAAAACTTAAGTAGAAAAGCATAAAATATAGAATCCTCACAAATTTTTCTATTTCAAATTTCTGAACAGAAAGAACGAGAGAAGGGTTCTAATTTGGCCTTTATGTTTCGACTGCCTTTTGCTGCTGGGAGGGTGTTCAGCATCAGTATGTTGGACACACTTCTGTACCAGGTATGCTGTGTTCCTTTTTTTTTCTCGCTACAATGTTTATCCTAATTCAGTTTAGATTCTATTAAATGAATAATGTCTCCAGTGTTTCTCATGGCTTTGGCTTACGATTGGCTTTGGAAGTAATTCAGTGTTTTATTTTGTGTAGTTCATGACAAATGTGCCTATGAAACATTTTGTAAGATAAAAAGCCCAAATGTCCATCGACGGATGAATGGATAAAGAAGATGCAGTGTGTGTGTGTGTGTGTGTGTGTGTGTGTGTGTAATGGAGTATTACTCAGCAATCAAAAAGAATGAAATCTTGCCATTTGCAACTACGTGGATGAAACTAGAGGTATTACGCTAAGTGAAATTAGTCAGTCAGAGAAAGACAAATATATGACTTCACTCATCTGAGGACTTTAAGATACAAAACAGATGAACATAAGGAAAGGGAAGCAAAAGTAATATAAAATCAGGGAGGCGGACAAAAACATAAGAGACTCTTAAATATTGAGAACAGACAGAGGGTTACTGGATGGGTTGTGGGGGGGATGAGCTAAATGGGTAAGGGGCATTAAGGAATCTGCTCCTGAAATCATTGTTGCACTATATGCTAACTAACTTGGATGTAAATTAAAAAAATAAATTAACTTAAAAAAAAGTTTTTAAGGAAAAACACTATTTTTCAGAATAATCTATGAAATAATTTTTAGTCATTCTTTACCATCAGTGTCCTACAGTGTTTACTGTGGCATTTTAATACATTTTGCCTGTTACTCCAAGCATATTACCACACTAAAAAAAAGCTAAGAAAAAAATGAATATAGTAAAAAAAAGGGTAGCCTTCTTCATAATGCACATATTTTAAAATAAGACACCAAATTGATGTCAATAAACCGATAAACCAAGAACATTAAATATCCATTAATTATTGCATGCTCTAGAAAAAATAAGAAAAGATTTTGCAACATCTAAAACACATTTAGTTTGTTCCTGAATGCCAAAGTTAACGTTGTCATTTGATCATAGCTAAGAAATTTATAGAAATGTTATTTTGCACCAATATATTTTAATCTTTTTAAAATGCTACCAGAAACTGAACAGCAGTAATATTTCATATTCTCTGACCCAAGTAATCAGACAATTTATAAATATTTTTATTAAGAGAAAAAAGATATTCATGTAGCTTTAAATTATTTGATAGCTTTAATCTCAAATTAAGCATTCAAACATTTTGTTGTGCTGTTTTCTTTCTGATTATGTGTTTTATGTACCCTCTTCTGCAGTGCTTGATTGAGTAAGCTAATCTGAAGATAGTTAAAGCTTTTCTATTGGCCTTCGGGCTAATTATGCCCTTGAATATGCCTTTAGCAATGTCACAAACCATCTGCTTATGCCAGATGAGGCCACGCATAAATACAGCGAAGGAGAATAAACACTCCTGTTCACCCTAAAGTTTTCAGATACATTATCTGGGTGCTCCCAGAGTGGGGCTTCCACCCGCACACACCATTCCCACACATATACCTCTGATCTCTCAGAGAGGGGAGTGTAGAGCAGTCCTGAAACTGAAGATTTCATGTCACTAGCAGTCAAATGCTGGATGTCATTATGCACCAATGGTTTTCAGATTTTGTAGCCCTGGAATCTTTATGTTTCAATAAAATCTCACTAGAAAATCTAATACATGGGCTACCTAGAGGGAAACTGTTCTCTAGAAGTGGAAAACAGTGGTTATTTCTCTTTATTTTTACCTTATATTTTTGTTATAAAATACAAATGTAGGAAGTTAGTGTTTTCTGAAGCTACTGCTGAGAGGGTGAATAGAACAATAATTTTGAAAGTAGTAACTGTCTATTTAGCTTTGCCTGACATCAAACAAGATATGCTGTTTCATTTTTCAGATAGGTAAAGAGTAGTCATTTATGGGTCGAAAATATATTAGAAATTATATATAATGCTTAAAATTATATAATAATCATGCATGTATTCTTAAGATCTACTAAATGCCATTTTTTTTGGTTAATGATTTGAACCCATCCTCTTGAGGATAAATGTTTATATTATATATTTAAGAATCATTATTAATGACTAGAATTGTACAGTGATTTACTATTAATGTAATTCTATTCTAGACATAATATCATTTCCTTCCTCAAAGAAAACTCTGACATAGGTACTGTTTTCAATCACAATATATAGATGGGATACAAGGGCTCAGGAAGATAAATTATCCCATGGTTACTGTGAACCCTCATCTTCAGGCCATGCACATCTCATTTGATTACTCACCACCTCGTCCCTGTGGTAAATGAGTCCATAACTGCATAGTGTTTGAGTTTCTTATGGTACTTTTTTTTTTTAACTTACCAGAAAGTTGTTTTTATTTATTATATCTTCTCAATAGTCCTTTTCCCCTTTCCCACTTAAAACGCAGATCACTTGTATATTTCTCAGTTTTCTTAATTTTCCTCTTTGTGGAGCTGGAAAACAAGTGATTAAAAAATAAGTATTAATGGGTGCCTGGGTGACTCAGTCTGTTAAGTGTCTAACTCTTGGTCTCAGGTTAGGTCTTGATCTCAGAGTCATGAATTCAAGCCTCATGTTGGGCTCTGTGCTCGGTGTGAAGCCTACTTAAAAAAAAAAGTATTATCTGAGGAGGAGTCGGGGAGAGGATAGAAAAAAGTATTATCTTAAATAAAAGGTATTAAATGAAATTGAAAAAGATTCTTCCATGATTGAATTACATGAGTTTCAATGCATGGATTTTGTCATATCAGGTGGAGCTGTCCCTGTCTTTTTGTCTCACTCCTACTTCTTGTCTTTGACATGATGAAGTTACAGGACAAAAGATCTCTGGATAAGGGACACTGTAGTGACAAATACAGAAAACAAATTAGCTGTATTACCATATCTGACTCAAAAATAATTTATAACAGTTATTTGCCAAAACTTCACTTCACTTTTCCATGAGTGCTTTCAAATTTTCATTTTGGAAAATAGTTTTAAGTACTTGAGAATGTGTTTAAAAATTCCTCTTCTTTCGCAAACACACTGAGTTACAAATGAAGTTGAAGCATGTCACCACTACTCTTGATAACTACAAGACTGACTATTTAAAAGGGAATGGATGTGTTTCCTTATGTTCTTGTTTAGACCGAAGGGTTTAGTTTTCTGATGCTCGCTATTGGCAAAATAGTACTGTACAAAGTAGTCTAGTAAATGGATTTAAAGGGTATTATAACTTAAAACAAATCTTTGCTATGCAAAATAACTAGACAATTATTTAAGCTTTTCACTTTTGTAATACTTGAAGATCAAATTCAAGACAGTCATTTTATACAGTTTATGAAATAATTACATGTCATGGTGAAATGTGCTTATATCAGTTGAAAGTTATTCTTTTCACTCAGAGCTAAGAATAAATTGAAGAAATTGGAAGCATTGTTAACTTAATGTTCTGTTGATTAGTATTCTAGTAATATATCAAAATATATGCTACCACATCAAATAGTTTGATAATGATATTTAATACTAAAATATTAATCATTAATATTTAGATCTACTGAAATATTAGAAATTTATTCTATTAACAAAGAGCTTAGTCCCAAAGAAACCCTTTGGAGTATCCCCTTACAGATTTTAGTTTTCAAATTTTTTTATATTCTCTATTTTATTTTAGCTCATTGTTTTTTGTTATTAAAAATCTAAAAACATTTTTATCATGTTTGACAGCATATATAAAATTTAAGCCTATCAGGATATTCTAGAGAATAATTATTCCCCATAATTCCTTATGGACAGCTTAACTGTACCTGTGTATTTAAGACACTGCCAGGATAGATTTTTATTTCCTTTTTTGTGGGGATTCAATGATGTGTTATGAGAAGTAACCTTTTAGAAATGGTATAATGTTTGCACTGAGCTATTCTGTACAATTACTACACATAATAAATACATATTTTGTTTACATTACAGTCATTTGTAAAGGATTATATGATTTCTATCACCAGACTTCTGTTGGGATTGGACACTACACCAGGATCAGGGTTTCTTTGTTCCGTAAGTTAATATTTGCTGGAATAGAAGATTGTTCTAAGAGATGTTTCTGAAATCCATCTGTGGTGTAGTTTGGCTAACTCATATATGTCACTGTTTTCCTCTAATGTGTGGTCAAAGAATAGCATCATTTTTTTTTTAATTCTTTAAAAACTTTTCGGGAAAGCATTATTTTAATAATCATGAAAATAGCCATTCTGTACAAAATTCAGAACAAGTGTCTTTTTTCTAGCTAGCATTTGAGATGGACAGTTTCTGACATAGGATGCCACAGTGTTGAGGCAAACAGCGATGATGAAGTTTAATCCTAGTTTTATAAATGAGTATACTGTATTCTGGTGTATTCAGTGAAATGATTTGAGAACTGTTAAGATTTTTGATAAGCAAAGAGGGACTAGTAGTTACTTATGCCTTCTCTCTGAGAGGCTGATGCTCATTCTGTTACTCCTCTTTCTCATTGTGAGGGTTATTAGACTTTGAAAAACCCTAGATTTTTCAAACTGGTTGGACAGTTTCTTTTTGTGCTGGAGTGTCTTTTGCTTTTGTAGCATTTGTAGCATTGGCACTAAATTCCAGTTGCAGCCTGTAGTCATTGCAACATTCAAGAAAGTCTACGCATTTTGCAACATCTCCCAGTGAATTACCAGTGACTACTGTCTACCGATATTGAACTAATACAATGTCATGCTGCCACAAATTCAGTGGTTGGTCTTCTGAAGTTTGAGGAACCCCAGAGATAAGCTGAGGTGGAGTGCTGTGACTAAGTTCAACACATGGATAAGCATTTACGAATGTTGCTTTGAGATTTCAAAATTTTAATGAATTCTGCATTTATAAAGTGAAAAATGACCACTGTGTTTTTATTTTTTTAATGCAATATGTAAATGATTCATATATCTTATAGATGAAAATCACTGAGGATGACCTATGGATCAGAACTTATGCCAGACTTTACCAGAAGTTGTGCTCTTCTACTGGGGACGTTCCCATTGGGATCTACAGGACTGAGTCCCAGAAACTTACTACATCTGAGGTTTGGAAATGTCAAAGTATTCCAGTTTTAATGATTAATCTGATTAAGTATAGACATTCCTAACCTTGGAAATGGATTTCTAAAAAAGACTTTGAAAGTGAAAAAGAATGCTCTTGTGGCACATAGTGTCAGTTCTCAGAGGCAAAAAAAACCCTTAACTATTTGTTTAAGTAAACTATGTCAGAATTTTACAAAATATTGTTGGCTAAGGGGCTATTCTAGAGTTTATGCACTTTGGGTGCTGAATGCCTTTTGTGGATCTAAGATTTTGCATGTCTAGATTGTCAGGAAGCAAATTAATTTTAAGTAGCCTTCTGACACATAACAGGTTCTCAGGGCAAGCAATCTAGCTTTCTGATATACTACTCATTTCATATGTACACTTTTGGAAGGAAGTAAAATGAAATTAGTAAGCATTGAAACTCACATTTTTCAAACTCTAGATTAAAGACTGCTCTGCAGCCAAGATAAAACCCTCCAGAAGTAGTACCAGATGTTCCCAGAGGAAAGCTCAGTCATTTTCAAAGCAAAATAGAATCTATTAATATAGAAGAATATTTCTGATGGCTTCATACAGCTGAAAACATATCCACACTTTGGCTCCATAATGTTGTTCTAAATAGTTTTTATATCTTTGGTAAAACATTCACCTTTTAAATTATATTCTTTTATGAGATAAAAATTTTGGATAAATGCACTATCCTACCAATATTTATAAAATTACTTAATATAAATTATGGTTTATATTCTCGAAATATTTTTCTTCTCAAATACCTTAAAGTATTTGCAATTTTGGTTAGACATATGTATTTCTGGTCTTATGCAAAATTAACTCAGCTATGAGATTCTGATCAGTTATATGCATTTTAGTGATCCATTCAGCCATTTTAACAGTTTGTGTTAAAATCAGTGAATTCATATATATACAAAAAAGAGCTTTATGAGTAAAAGAGTGGATTTTCATTTACTTGCTAACATTTATGGTTTAACATTTAAAAAACCAATTTTGAGGGCAACAGGAAATAGTTCAGTTTCTCTGAAGTGTTTTCTGGCACTTTCAACTGTAGATCAGGAGTGCTAAGAGGAACTTTTTTGCCATCTCTGCTACTTTTTAAGATAGTTTGGTCAGATATTCCTAAAGTTTTAAAAATACCAGGTCCAAAAAATTATTATTTGATTAAAGGTTAGTAGAAGACAAGTGCTTTCACACCTCTTATTTGAACTTATAAGTATACAGGAAATTTCCATTCAACAGAGTATTATGTTCTTATCTTACATATAGGCTCTGTCAACTTGAATGTAGTAAATTCTGCCCTTGGTCAAGTTCATATTCAGGTCATTTTATATTATTAAGGGGCTCTGTTGTATTCTGTTTATAGTCACTTTATTAAAATGCTTATAAATCCCCAGAGTCTAGCTTATATGGAAAACACACATTCTTGGGGGAAATAAAAGGAAACTGAGTTAAATAAAGATGATACCTCTTATCTTCCTATATTGAATTCAATTCATCTTTTGGAACACATTTTTACTTAAACTTTATATTTTGCCTATTATATAAAAATGAGGCAACTTAAATAATTAAAGTTAAAAATAAAGGCATCAAAATTTTTTACAACAAAATATATTAATAGAGGCAGAAAAATGAATGTTATTCTACATCTAAAATGAACTGAGTGCTACAGTTGAGCCAGAATTCTACTTTTACTTTCCTGGCAAGTAAGGCAAAAATAGAACTGTTGAATTATATAGTAATTATAGTCTGACACATGAAAAGATAAAAATTAATCCTGAGAAAGATTGTTTATTAAAAGAACACATATATTGTAAGCTTTCTTATTTAAAAGATTTTAGATAACATGAAGAAAAGTATCTTCAATCATAGTTTTGCAAGACACAAAGTGCCATTAAAGTGCTATCCTTTAAATTAATCTTTTATTTTTTTAAAAAGGATATCAATTAAATAATAGCTCAGTAAAGACATTGGATTTTGTGTGAAGAGGAAAGCTGTTTTTCCTGCTCTTATAAAAACAAAGAATAAGATCTTAGCATCTCTGATGAGATGAAAGATTGATTCATACATTCCATCATCTTTCTCAAATATCAGATGGTTCTAGAAAAGTCACATGTTAGAATTCAGATGATTTATCTTTGCCCAAAATGCCAACATCACCTAATAATTAGAATTGAAGAGTCTAACATTCTTTTCAGATAGCTGTCAGATCTCCATATCTCTTGAGAGTTCACACAGTCATACTACTGTCCCTCACTCCACACTGGCAAAGATTGAAGGCTGTTTCAAAGGGGAGATGACACAGGTACTCTGTGGACTGGGGGGCACTATGCATAGTTGAAGGCAGTGATACACACTAAATTCAGAGAGCTTAGTGCAAGGTACATTTTGTATACTGTACCCTTCAGCAGCAAAGTAGAAGAGTCTTCCCTAGGGAATCTGACCAAGCCATGTGAACAGCCTAAAGATGTAGACATGGGATGTTCAATAATCCAGTGATCACCATGAAACTGAATAAAAAATATTTTAATAGGAGCTTTCAATAAATTTTGTCAGTCCCCTACTATTTAGTATGAGTAGACAACTAAAAATTCCCTACATCAGGAAATAGAATGAAATTCAAAGACACCAAAATAAACAAGGGAAAAAAACATGTAAGAAAGATTGATCATTGAGGAAGAAGATAATTTCAAAACACAAAATGAAGACTGCATTCCTCAGTATTTACCTAAGAGAAATGAAACTATATCCATGCAAAGATTTGCAATTTGCATACAAATGTTCTTAGCAACATGGTTCATAATAGCCAAAATTTGGAAACAACCTAAATGTCCATCAACTAGTAAACAGATAAACAAAATGTGGTATAGACACACAACAGACACTATTTATCAATAAAAAGAAACTACTTATATGTGCTTACTCCAATGAACCTCAAAAATATTATGTTAGGGACACCTGGGTGGCTTAGTCAGTTAAGCATCTGAGTCTTGATTTCAGCTCAGGTCATGATCTCATGGTTCGTGGGTTCAAGCCTTGTGTCGGGCTTTGTGCTAATAGCTCAGAGCCTGGATCCTGATTTAGATTCTGTGTCTCCCTCTCTCTCTGCCTCTCCCCTGCTCTCTCTCTCTCAAAAATAAATACACATTAAAAGAATTAATTAATTAATTAAATGATAAAATATATGTTAAATGAAAGAAGGCAGACACAAAAAAACACATATAGTGTGTTTTCACGTTTATGAAATGTCATAGAAAGTGAATGTATGCAGACAGGAAACAGATTAATGACTGCCTAAAGCAGGAGGAGGTGGAGGGAATGGGGAACCAGTTAACGAACATGATGGGGTTTATTGGGGTATTGGAAATATCTTGAAATCGATTTATGGTGATGGTTTTACAATTTGGTAAATTTACTAAAATATCTGAATTTTACATTTGAAAATTATATATGTCAAATATATACTAGTAAAGTTATATATTGAAATGTGATCATTAATATTAGAAAGATAAGCTATTGCAAGGATGAAGGATGGACAGGATACTAAATTTTTAAAAGAATATTTAGGAAAAAAGAAAACTTTGGGAACTGAAAGTATAATACCAGAGGTAAAAAAAGTTCATATCATAAAGTTGAAGAAACCACTAGGAAACTAGAACAAAAATTCAAAAATGGAAACAGTAAAGAAAAGATAAAATTAGAGGACTAGTCCAGAAGGTCTAAGATCTGAATGATAAGACTTCCATAAAGAGGAGATGTGGGAAAATTGAAGAAATATCAGTATAATAACTTAAGAATAATCCCAAAATAGAAGTGTGTTAATTTCCAAATGGGAAGGGTCACCAAGTGCCCGCTATCATGAACTAAACACAGCATCATAAAATTCAGAATATTGAAGGAAAGGAGAAGATGCAGGAGAGGAAGGAGTAGGTCAGATGCAAAGTATACATGGGAATTAAAAAAATTTTTTTTAATGTTTTATGTATTTCTGAGAGAGAGAGACAGCATGAGAAGGGGAAGGTCAGAGAGAAAGGGAGACACAGAATCTGAAACAGGCTCCAGGCTCTGAGCTAGCTGTCAGCACAGAGCCCGACACGGGGCTCGAACCCACAAACCGTGAGATCATGACCTGAGCTGAAGTTGGATGCTCAACCGACTGAGCCACCCAGGCTCCCATACATGGGATTTTTCAACAGCAACTCTGTAAGCCAAAAGACCATGGAACAGTGCCTTCACGATGTTGAGGCAATATTTCCAAACCAGAATTCTATATTCAGCCCAAACTATCAGACTTGTCTAAAGATAGGATAAATAATATTTTAGCATTGTCTCTAAAAATATTCTCCCCATGGCTGCTTTCTAAGAAAACTACTCCCACTAAAAGGAACAAATACACTGAGAAAGGAATCATCGTTTGGACAAAACCAGACATTTTGTAAAATCCAGGCAACAAATAGGAGCCCAAAGAAATCCCTAGGATGGCAGTGAAAAGAATACCAGGCATAGGCAACCTGGAGTGGGTCAGAAGGTTTCAGAGAGATTTCCTCAGGAAGATGAAATCTATGGAATACTTTATATATCTCAGTATCTTAAAGAAAGATTACACAATTGCCAAAGACCTTAAGAACATATATAATTAAGCAGTTAATAAAAATAAGATAGTTATTAACTCTAGGAATACAGTAATACTACCGACCAAAAAATTATGCAGGAAATGAATAGTAATCACATTTCCCATATAGCTCACCTATAAATTGCATTTAGTCATAGTATGCCCTCAATTTCGATCTGACCAAAATTACACTTGAACAATTTTGAAATGATAGGAAATGGCAAAGGTACTGGAATAAATGGAAAAGATTAATTCCTCTTCTTTCAGAGTATGAAGTGAATGCAGAAGCTGAAAAAAAGTTATCAAGCATGCTATATAGAAACAAAGATAAAGACCTACATATCCAGCTAAAAGAGATAAAAGCAAATGAGCCCT